GTCTGAGGGATCCTTTCCTGGTTTCGGAATCATTGTCACGATTGCCGATTTCCAGGAAGGTGGGACATGGGAGAGATCTCGGCTGGCATTGTACAGATCGCATAGTCGGTCAATTAGTTTGGCCGAGCCGTGCTTCAGGGACGAGAAAAAAACTTTATCGATCCCTGGGGCTTTGTTAGCTATAAATTGAAGAGTGTTGCAGATCTCTTCTGGGTCTATAGGACGCCAGATGTTGTCGGTGTCTGGATGGGAGCGGACGTTGTCGGGAGAAAAGGCAATGATCTCATCCTGTAGATAGGCCCTTGGGAGAGAGTTGACTTTGAAGGCGGGAAGGTGTGGTCATGGCAGAAGCTAGCGATTCGCCAAAGACTTCCGCTTTGCCTTCATCAGTGATGACGACTCTTGTTCCGATCTTCGGTGGTTTGGTGGTAGCTGATGAGGGTTTGCCGACGCGTTGGAAGAGTTTCCAAAAGTCTTTGGGATCTGTCTCCTGATTTAGGTTGGAGCAATATGTATCCCAGTAAGTTTCCTGATCAAGGGCAAGTAACTCCTTTATTTCCTTGTTAAGGCCATTGATGATGGTCCTGAGTTCGGGGTAACCGTGACGGTGGTAGATTCGACGAAGACCTCGGCGTTCACGGATCTTCTTGAGTGTAGCAGTAGAGATGGAGTAAAGACGTCCAAGGCGACGAGCGACCTTGGGGACGGCCAGGTCTTGTGCGATAAAAATCGCTTCTGCTACGATGGTTGCAGAGTCGTCTAGGAGTGAGGGAGTTTCTAGGGCCAGCGTATCTGGGAGGAGTGAATCTTGGATTTCGTGAAATTCCCCCCAGTCCGCATTTTTAAAGTCGTATACCTCCCTCACAAAGTTGGATCGAGAGGGGGCACAGATGTCGAGCGTGACATGAATTGGGAGGTGATCGCTGCCGAGATCTGCCCCAGACTAAAAGTGGGGAAAAGGTCGAGCAAAGCGAGGTTTCCAATTGCGAGATCCAGTCTGGATGAAGCTCCCGTACGATCATTGTGATAGGTATGGGTGTCGTCATTCAGAATCTGGAAGTCTAATTACTAATTGCTTCTCCTCTTTGGTTTCTGTAATTAGGTGGATCTCCGAGATCTGGATGGTGGGCGTTTAGATCTCCAATGAGCAGGGTGGGACCATGGAGATTACTGATGAAATCCAGGTCTTCTAAGGAGGGAGTTGAGTCTTGGTGGTAGGGTGGAAAATAGGCATGGACGATGTTAATGTGCCGCCGTGGAAATTTGACCCGCACAGCTGACTTCGATGCCATTATTCCACACGTGATCTATGAGCATGGAATCTAGAGAGGAGTGGAAGGAGGAAGGAGTGCACATAAACAGCAGAGCCTCCCTGGTATGGCCTTGAGGGAAATGTTGGTTTATAACTGTAAAATTCACGTATGCGGGATGCAGATTTCAGTTTCAACTCGCTAAGGCATATGACTAGAGGTGTTGTTTCATCTATAAAATGAAGGATTTCCGCTCTTATTCTTGAATCCTTGCACATTAGCGTGCAGGATTAACGGAGGCGTGCTTAATGCATCGCCGTCCATTGAGTAAGGAACAGAATAAGAGCGAGAAGAGGCGTGAGGGCAGCCATAAGGTCATTCACCTGCTTCTGCAGGGAAACATTATCTGTAGACAAGCTAGTGATGTCTACAGGCTGGGAGGCAGGCGGGCTTGGCTGAAGTGCTGGCCCATTGTTGCGTGGCTGTAAGCTAGTGGGAGGTATACGGTCCCACGCACGAGGGTTGAAAAGGCTCGAAAATGGTCCTGTCGAGATGTCTGGTGCATAGAGGATGGGAGCAATTGGGGTAGGCTGTTTTCTTGGGTGAGCAGATGCAGGTGCAGGTGCCGGCTGTTTTCGAGCTGTAGCTATAGCTGCAGATGGAGGAGTGCTGGGGCTGTGTGGGAGAGGCGGAAAATGTTCCATATTCTTAAAAGAATTATTCTTAAATTAAAAGTAGAAGGATGTTAAGAAAACCTGATACTATATCAGGAAAACCAGTACTTAATAGTAATTGTAGGATGCAGGGAACAAGGGTTCCATCTAGTGAGGGATCTTGGTACTGCAACTGCAGGATGGTCAGATAAAGTTTCATATGGATGGTGTGGTGTTACTTTTTCATAAACTTGATATCATGTATTAATACTTCACGTCAGATGGAGTGACGTCTAGTTTAAGTAAAATATACGTACACTTTGGTGACGTAAATATAGGAACGTAAATTTTACGTGAACGTGATGTCATTCTCATGGCAATCGCAAGAAATTTGCATTGTTTCCAAAAAATTGATATCTTGTTTACGTGAACATGCTGCTTGGGTAGGCTTGCATGAAAAGTGATGGAGGTGGACTTCACGGACGAAGCGGACAGGGTTGTGATCTGCACGAAAAAGTGCTAATGAATGAAGGAGTCGGGATTCCGACGAGTGTAATTGCGAAGATCTCACCCCGGCGAGGAAATCATCCTTCCTTCGGCTGGACGAAAGGGGACTCCAAGGGCTGTGCGGTACATGGGGTTTCTTGCCCAAGAGTTCGTGGAAATGTTCCACGGGTCGCTCAACGTATTTTCGTCCATATTTTCACTTCGCTTTATAGAAGGGTTCACGTCGCATGCTGTCCAGTTGTTTATTCGCATTATCTCCCCAAATCAAACGTCGTAGACCCTAAATTAAATCGCGTTACTCATATAACATGAAAGCGACTAAGAAAATATAGGCACTTTTGGAACCTGATTTTCAACTGATTATTCATACATACGTCATTGCTTGGTATGTCATCTTGATAAGGATTTCAACATATTACATTTTGCATTAAAAAATATGGATGCAAAGAGCCTACGCATTTGTTTAAGAAGACACTCGTTATTCACATAACAATCAAAGAAATGAAGGATCGCCGAATGCCGCGTTATCATCAATTTGTTGTGTTTCTTCTTTCAATTCTAGTTTGCTTCAGCACTCACGAATATTGCAGGAGACGGCCAGAGTACATGCTTCGACGTTCCAAATTCTCAACTGTTACCTTTTGCCTCTAGCCTTGGGAAACAGAGAATATAACGAAGCACTGCTTTCTTTTTTGCGAGGGCTATGGTGCAGCGACCTTATCGTCTTAGCCTTGGCTTTCCCAAAACTGTCTAATAAGCAACAGCGTTGCATGTGCCTGCCCATGCTCATGTTGTATCTCCTCTGTGGGAGGGATATGAATTAAGTTACTCCTTCTACAGGCAAAGTAGAACTCTCTACAACTACTGCGACTGTCTACTATCATATTACAATTCGGGCCAACAGGAGTATAGGGTTTGTATGCATGTTCAGTTGTTCAGGATACATTGCATGCGAAAAGAAAGGTTTTTGCTACCAGGATTAAAATTTAAAGTAACGTTAAAATCAGAATATAAGTGCTGTATTAACTGAGCCACCCTGTCGCGCGGAGAGACCTGACCAGAAAACTTCATTTAATAGCCTCTATTTCTTTCTGGGAGGATAGGGAGACGAGGAAAACGGCTGGCCTGGGCGAGTCGCCCCTTTCAGGAAGGTAAAATTTCAGACGTATCTATATATGAATATCTCGCGATGCATGAACTTTCAGAAGGTCATACCTGCAGAGGCCTTCTTCCTGCGGCTGGAGCGTACCAGGGGCCAGTCTGTGAACTCATTATGGCTTATCTTATGTGATTTCTCGTTCTTTTTGCGTTCCCTTAGTGCCTTCATGCATTATTTTTACTGGGTCTTAATTGTTGCCTTTTCCTCATTCTTATTTTGCCGATTTGTCTGCCCCTGATCGTTCGTTTTTGGCATGATCATTTCATGATCATCTCGTATATGTTACACATGATACATCATGTGTAACAGAAGATGAAGAGCACCTGAAAAAATTTCTCTAGGAAAAATCTGTGTTGGTAAGCATTAGAAATTGTCTCCCAGGTTATGTGAATAACGAAGATCCAGAGTTATGCGAATAACGGAATTTCGTCAACGAAGCTATTCGAGTGAGAGACAAAATGTGATTTTGGTTCGCACCAAGGCATCCCATCAGTACAGATGGATATTTCATGATAACAATTTCTTCCAACATAAATGGTTTTGGTGGGAGGATGAAGTTCAGCAAAAAAGTTATTCATAAAACAGGAAAATTATACAAATCCTCGAGGCAGTAGCGAAAAACGATGGAACTTTTGAAAAAGAAATAGTGAGCTGTGTAAGAAGTGATAATGTATTTGTTCGAACCCACCCAATTTTTAATCATTTTCGACCATTGCAACAGTAGCATTTAATTTGAATCATAATCAAGAAACTTACTTATCTCATGCGACTGCATCTTCAGATTCTTCGCTGTAAGAGGCCCAATGCTGCCACACTCGATCGGTCTTGTTTTAGTATGAAAGATGAGTACTTTGAGCGCTCAGAAAACATATAGCTTCACTGGATTTTCTGACGTACATACTTTATTATTTTGGATGACATTTCCGTGAAATGACCCAAATGCAGATTCTTTCGTGAGATGCAAAGCGGTTTTATTCGTAAATGAATGGCAAAACCACTCGTCACAGAATAATGATGGAGTGCTGTACGTATTCGGCAATTGAGAAGAGGTGAAGACATCCTAGGAGCCTCACTTGCAAGTGGAGTTTGCTTCATAAAAACCTGGAACGAAGGCAATTGACAAAAATTAATTTAGTTTATGGAAGAAAGAAGGACGGGTTGGATTTTCTTCTCGAAGACGATGAAACCTGAAGTAATGTCTACATTAAAGATTGGGGCATTGAACTCATAAGGATTTCTCTTTTCCGAGATGGTAATTTTCATGCTTCACATGACTCGTCTTGGCAAATAAATCATTTCTTGGGGGTGAAAATCCCTGACAGATGAATATTTAGTAATAACGTAACATAGGGTGTATTGAAGTGGACGATAGAATCGATAATTTATTTAAATACAAGTGTTGCAAGAGTGTTGACGTTTTTGTTCGCGAAGGTTGTAACATTTATTCAGGTGAACTTCATCTCACGTAGAGCCTTTGTTGAAATAGCGTGAACCATTTTCTTTACCGATTGTACTAAGTCATTAGGAAAGTAGAATTACTCCACATGGACACAATCATAACTATAAAATGAATAAACGCGGGTTTCATCTTTAATGCTCTCAGTTTATGGAAGCCTTGAGTGAAGAAAGTCTACTTTCAAATTATTTTCCTCGAGAGAACCAGTTCGTTTTGAACCCAATGTTTCGCTTGGACGTGTTACTTAATGTGGTCTTTTTCACATACATATAAGCAATTCTCTCCCTCTAGTTTTCCCTCAACATTTGCAGTATAATTTTGCATAACTTCGTACGACGGGAGGGGGAGCCCAGACGATGATGACGAGCAGTTGTGGTCAAAATAAAATTTATTTCCACGCAAAAAACATTAAAAGTAACACTTCCTTGAATTTAAAGGGTTTTCGGATGTCAGGAAATTTGAAAATCCAACTGGACAAATAACGCAAGACGATTTTGATATGGCAGGGTCTCGCATCTTATACTAATCTTATACTACTCTTATACCCCTTTTTCATTAAATATACTTTCCAGATGGATCGAATATCTGTTCCTAGATTCGCCACAGCTGTCGCGTTTGATTTTTCTCATTTCTATTTCGACTTTTCCCGGATAGCCCAAGCCAAGAATGTGAATTCACTGGTGGCCTTTGACATTATTTTCTCCATATTAGACAATGAGAGAACAACCATATTTGGAGCACCTGAAAAATAGGAATAGGAGCGATGATTGGGAGGGTATGGGCATTGACACATTTTTTCATGAATTCATCCACATGCTCTCCTCGATCCAGTCAACAAACCTGACGGAAAGGGAGAACAATATTGAAGGATCAGCAATCCCCAAAAAAGCGAGAAAAAACATTTAAAAAATCAGTCATCGGTGAATGGAAGAAATTAAACTCTTGCGCATTATGGTTCCAATGACTGAAAAATATATTCGGACCTTTAATCCCCTGTGAGAGCATGGAGCATTCGTTCACTCCCCAGAAAGATCAGCATTTCAACTGTCGCTGTTCATTTCTTTCAGGTTACTACTTGTAGTTTCTGCACAAACAGCATATCTTAATTGTTATTTCTTCAGAATGAAAGAAAAAATAGGGCAGGCATACTGATTTACGCTCTGTATATCGAATATCGTACATTTTTAATAAATGAATTTGCCATTTTTAAAACATAATTTCAAATTAAGCTCTTTTTGTAAGGAATTCATAAAAATAATATTTATTACAGATGATTATGTGCGTGTGAACTTGTTAATGCTCCTTTGCGTAGCCATTCGTGATGGAGACAGGTTTCAAGGGGTTTTATTCTAAAAAATCGGGGAAATCCTGCGAATCCCAGTGGGAACAGGGTCAGGAAGAAAGAAGTGGAAGAGAAGAAAGAAAAGGGGGTCCATCATGTGATTAAAATATTAATAATGAAGAGTGAAGTCAGACTCTAGGACATCATGCAATTAAGACATGCTCACTTTTGTCGATAATTAAAAATCACATTTTTTATACTTTGACGCAATATTATAAGGGAAACAAAAAAATCTCTTACCACTCTGAGATGTTCAAAGATGGTTATAAGGAAACTGAAACATTTCATTATTCACGAGGAACCTCCGACAAAAGAAGTTTTGAAAAATCATGTTTCTCCTCAAAGGCACATTTTCTTTTAATTGTTTAATTTCCATGATATTTCCGAGAAAAATTAACTGAGAAGGGGCATGGGAAGTAGTCATATCTTACTTATTAACTCGAGCGAATACACCATACTCGCCAGGCTCATAATTGGAGCAATCCCGTCCTGACTTCGTATAGATATGACTGACGATTCCTTCGACCACCCATTGGCTTTTCAGAAGGCTATGAGAGGCGAAGACCATGGGACTCCCCGAATCCCCTGGACACACCGTCTTGTATTCTACGAGAAAATAATCTCGTCACTTTCACATACTCTTTCACATTTCCATGAGATATCCCAGAGGTACTGCCATTGAGTGTGTAGCTAGTAGCAGAAACAGACAATGCATGGTTTCTCACTTCTATTATCGGCCTAAAAAATAATGTCCATACTGATCCACGCAAGTATTTCTTGTATGCACTTCCATGCGTCGCAGATGAAATGATGGCATAGAATGAAAGTGGTACGCGATTAGAATGATAGAGCTTCTCATACCTTTCGCATCCTCATGCACCAATGAGGAAGCATTGTAACGTTTTCCTGCACAAAACGTGTTGGTGGTGATGGAAGTGGGGTGCTTGTCTGACTTTACGTTGATTTCCCTTCGGCACTCAGGTTTTGGTATGACTTCCAGTTGCACCTGTGTCAAGACGTCCGTTGCTTGATTTGAGACGTCTTTTCCCCAACCTGCCACCTGACGTTAAATCGATTATTTAAAAAAGATGACTGCAAGAATGGGGCAATCGAGCGATCGTGGCTAACCCATCCTCGGTCAGGACGGCCAAATTCATCTTGAGCACCATCTAAAAATTCATCAGACAGGTTCTCATTGGAAGGCAGACAAATCAACTGAACCCTTTCCGTTAGATTAGCCGAATCGTCGAGTTTTATCAGGGCGATGTCCGATTCCCAGCCTGTGTATTCGGCCTTCGGGATGATCTGGGTCACCTGCAAGCAATGCGGAATTGTCCTATATCTCGGATCGAAAAACGACTTTAAAATGGAAATAACACGAAATGCGTTTGGGCTCGCACCTTCATCTTTTGCACGACTTCATCGTCCATGGACACATCTCGATAGTGCATGCCGAGATAGACGAAGAAATTGTTCACATCTTGAACTGCAGATGCATTTTCTGGGTCCATGACGCAATGTGCCGCCGTGAGAACCCATTGTTTTCCAATCAGAGCACCTCCACAAATGACATCCTTGAACTGCACATCATAGATGGCAGCTTGCCAAGGCCACGCCCCAAGTGCTGCTTCCTCCCCTCCACGAATCAATTTCTGAGGCGATGCAACCAGTTTTTCCATTCGGCCACACTCTAGAAGCGCAAGAAAATACACAATGCAAATCCATCATCGTACAAGTTCCACCGAATCGACCATTGAAACAATTTTCCAATACAAACAGACCAGGTTCACAGAACGGGTCAGGGCCTGTCCATTCTCCATTCACTCCGCATGTCCGAACTCGTGGACCCCTTAGAATATAATAGCCATCACAGATGTAGTTCACTTTAGTTCCAATGAGGTATTTTCCAACTTGAATGCATTCTGTTTCATCTTGGGAACTGAAATAAAAACGAGCCTTTCGTCAGTAGCCAGTTCAAATGTTCCAACTACATAGGAAGTTCAGGGAGCATAATAAACTGCAGCGTAAGATCGCTGCTAGGATCCTTAGTGTCGTTTGAACAAGTACCATGACATAATTTTAAACATTTTTCTTTTCTACCAAAACCAAAATTCCATCCTGAGATGCGCCAAAAAGCTATCTCATTTCTCACGGTGTTCATGCAAGCATCTGCATAATTTTAGAATGACTCATGGTATATGTCACTTTATGAAGAAGGGGAGGAAATCCGGTATTTCTTCGAGAGAAAACAAGAGAGCATTGTTGAATAATCTTACCTTCGTCCATTATTTGAGCAAGAAAGGAAATCGAAGCGTCCATGTAGGATGCCAGGAAGTGGTCCACAGCCGGTCACTTTTTCCTTCAACGGTAATAATAATCCTTCAACATTTTACCCTACAAGAATAGTTATGGTGTTATGGCATGCACGGCTGAATATAGTCTTACACGTTCATGACGAGATGGAACTGATGCAACGGAGCTGATGCAGCAGACTTGGGTCTCTTTAGGACAGGCAAAGGAAGTATTGAGAGTGCCCTCGTTGCTAAAATAAGCGTGTTGCGAATCGATGCATCTTAGACCTTCTAAACCGTGGGGACGCTGAGGACGGCTTGAACTTGGCATCACCTCGCTACGACATTGTCTTAGTGATTCCGTCAGATCAGGGTTATTTAAATTGGTCCCATTTCCACATGTCCCGTTTAATTTTTTTGCCACCTCAGGAGCGAAAGCCAACCAGGCTAAACCACAGTCACACTTGATGGGATTGTCTGGAATAGAGGTGGGCCAAGGAACAAGAGAACGAAGGGAGAAGTGGGAGAGAAAAAGAAGAAAGAGCCATGGCACTCACATTCTAGGTGGAGAAAACCATCTCCTCGGGAAATGTCCATCATGATCCGTTGAAGGATCCCCCTGTCAAGTGTAGATATAGAGTTATTACGAAGGTACACCTTCGTGTGCGGCCCAAGACCTGGAATGGGCGTGGAAAATATTCTGCTTTGATTTGAAACTTTTGACGTATTTTCATTCGCATCATTACATCATTCATCATCATTGTTAATTTACAGACCCTGATTTGTCACATTTTAAACTTCAGCACATTTGGTCATTCCATGGACAAAGGGTCACAATTGTTAAAATGGGTGATGCCTATGCTGATGCCAATTATGGATGGCCAACATAGTATTTGATATTACCACATTGCACACTAGCTATGCTCAAATGAGATGCAACAAGAATGGGAGTAATCCGCAATCTTTTAAGAAAGAGCACAGGGTGAGGTGTGGTAAGAGTAACAACGGGGTAATTGTAACAATGCTTCGTCATTCAGCAAGTACACAAGATTAAATGTTCTCATATTGCGTCCATAACAGGCCACTCTTCATCCTTTGATAACACATATTTTGAGCTTCACTGTGATTGACTAAGAACGTGTTTGCTTAAATTTTGCGCACCCTGGTAGGAAAATAAAGAATCCAATATTTTTCTCTTCTGTTGCAATTTTGTTTTTCATCCCAACAAATGACCTTAAAAATGGTTTTAAAAAATGGTACATTTGCTGCATGATCTTCTATCCATTTCATGATTTCGAAATTTGGACTCACGCCTTAGCACATCATTTCTTGAGTCCAATGTTACTTTTGCTCCCTTAGGAAGTTGGGTCGTGGGGCAACTGTAACAACCTAGGACGGAGCAAAAGTAACATTGCGCATACAATGTTTAAAGTGCTGCTAATTTTGGTACATGAGTAAATTTATTATTAAAAAAAGTAGGAATGACTGAGTATTGTGCATGCGACTTTTTCCAGGCTTCATAATGGGTCGCACTCACAAAATAAAAACTGAGAGGGGTACAGGGAAATGTTACTCCCATGAAGATATTGTAAGTGTTGTGAATTGCATTAACCATTTAATGCCTGCATTTCTTGGAAAAAGAACTTACCTCCAATTCACGCAGTGGATAAAAATGCGCAGTTACGTTTACTAATGTAACAGCGTTACGATGACGTTTACTAGACTCACTATGACAAAATGAGACAGTTGTCATCTTAATCTTGCTGGCAGGAACCGCTCTGATGGGTCAATGCTGACGATAGCTCGCAGGCAGATGCAGTGTTCTAATAGTTCAGATTTAGTAATGGTTTTGAATGTTCAATGCATGTTCAGTCCGACTTCCGAAGGGAAGAGTAATGCGAGGAAATATTTGAATGTTTGTACCCTCACATCAGAATCTTGAGTAAAATGTTCATTATTCTAACAGGGTTGAAAAAAACCTTTTTCTTTGTAATGAATCTGATACCAAAAGGGAAATCCCACATTTTATCGATGACTCACAGCCTACAATAAATTTCTTGTCAGATTAAGCCTTCTCTGCTTCATTCTCAAGATGTTCTACCTTTAAGAAAATAAGCAGGAGTCAGGATGAAGCTTGGTTTGATTTTCTTTTCTTATAGGAATTAGTGTTACGTATCCCCCATAGAAAATGAGAAGCGTCTTTTTCGAAACACCCGATATACAGGGTCTGCCAAAAGTAGGTATATAGTTGTATGTATGAACTGTGTGAGAGAGAAACACATGGAATTGTTAATCCCTTAGATGCTCAAAGAGTAGCCCTCATTGTTCACACATTCCTGGAATCAGTCAACCACACTGCGACACACTTTGTCAGCCATCACTGATTATTAACTACCGACAAATAAAATAAAAATAAAATAGGCAACTGTATACCTACTTTTGACACACCATGGATTTGGGTAACCATTACTTCGGTGTTCAATGGAAGTTTCCAATAAAGATGCGAACTGCAGCATGGGGGATGACCTACTATAAGATCGACAGTGTGGTCTCAGATAACAAAGAGCATAATTATGGAGTTCGTCAACGGTCTAGCTCCAGCAGGTATATCTCCCCATAAATTGAATTGAAAACGTAGTATAATCGCCATGGTCATCAGAAACCTGGATGGCAAGGCCAACGATGCCTCTCGAGATCAAATGGCTACTGTTTCCAAGTTGTGTTGCTTTAGCCATCACTATCGAGAAGTGCCAAAGCCAAACATTGCAACGAATTGGATTTTACCTTCCTGAACTCAAATTTTACTATTAAGTTTTTTTCAAGAGTGCGGCGCTTGCGTAAAGGTGAAGATCGAGCCTGAACCCCGAGAAAGGCTGATACCCAGGCAACGATGGCACCTACACAATGAACGTCGTGTTCCAGAAGGATTTGGATTGAAAATGTTGTATAGTTTTTTAGTCAATTTCTAACATTCATAACTATTAATATTTTACCTGTTTTTCAATAGAAGTCATGAGACCAAATTTTTAAAGCTACTATTCCATGGTTGAGTTCTAAACGTTTTTCTTTAGATCATATACCTACATGGCATTGAGTGTTTGTGGTTAAATCTGTAAATCGCTACGGTGAAATGTTAAGAAACTGACCCAATTACAGATCATCTGAGAAATTCAGATATCGAATACTCACTATTCCTTTCCTTGAAATTGGAAGCTGGAAATCCGGCAACCAGGCTTGCGCTATTGTAGTCTAGGAGAGAAGTTAAAAAATTGTTATTGAGAAGGAGTTGTCTCAATTTTGGAGTGGCCCATCCGTCGAACTCTATTCTGTTGATGCGATTGTCATTCAAATCGAGTACTTCTAGGCTCTCGCTCTTGCAAGCCGGGACAAAGGTCAACATGTTTTTTTGGAGATGAAGTTCCCTCAATTTGGGAATCGCTCGTAAGTCGGACTTCACAGTCCTGATCCGATTGTTACCGAGATTGAGTATTTCTAGGTTGTCGCTCTTGATGGTCGGGAAGAAGGCCAACCAAGTTTTTTCGATGTAGAGTTCCCTCAATTTGGGAGTCGCCGATCCTTCGAACTTCACCCCCGTGATGTGATTGTCATAGAGAACGAGTACTTCTAGGCTGTCGCTCTTGAAGGCTGGAACATGGGAGAACCTATAGGAACATCTCTCATACGATAAATCCAGAACCTCCCATTCGGGAAGTTGCCTGCAAGAAATGAGAAGATGAAAGGTACATGTCAATGTTGATTTAGTCGAGGAGAAAAAGAGCTGACTCGTTCATATATCAAAAGTCGAGAAATAAAGAATGATCCAAACCCTCTATGGTAATTCCACTGAGGAGAGTCACACAGACTCATCAAAATTTTAATTCCATTATAATGCAGATGAATATGAATATCCACATGTGATTCAAGTTCTTCCCTGACTATAATTTTAATTAGGTGTCATCTTTTTGGGAAGTGTTCATGGATATCACAACTTGGCTACTTGACCTATTTTTCGATATTTTGATTCGCTGGTTCGTAGAAAACTAACTGAGAACTTCTTGTCTGAGCTCTGATCCTCCTATGGGATTATAGATATTTTGATGCCGACGAAAACTCTTTTAATCCTACACTGCTTGGTGTGCCAGATATGACACGCTCTCCTTTGCATTGAAACGCATAACGATACAATGGAAGAGCCAAAAGGGAAGGAGACTTTTTTCATTATTATTCTCAACGACAATACAATCGCAGGAAATCGTAGAAAGCGATCGTAGAAAATGTTCTGGTACATTAAAAAAATTATTAGTAGGGTTTAACTGCAAAAAGTGGTTGTACATGTAGTCCGCATTTAATATAAACAGGGTGGGCAATAAATACCTGACACATTTCAAAGCAATGTTAAATGGGCACAGACAGAAAATGAAATTATTTCTATTGCGTAATACTCTACAATCTCAGAAGTTTTACACATAATATCCGAGTCTGGTTTTTCCCTCGTTTATGTCCTAAAAACTATCGCACGTAAATATCCACCATCTAATATATATAGACGATCGTGACTGACTGACGCTAATTCTAACCATGTTCTAGACGTGAATAACCCTCAGAAGGACGCTTAGGCCTAAGCCATCCTCAGGCACCCCTTGCCTTCAACAAAACAGAAGGAAAGTGAGTAGCTGATAGGTTGTCGATTCCAGAAAAAGTCTAACTTCCAATGTCCAACTTTGGGGGTCCATGCCCTGGGGGCACGTTTTGGGGGAGGGGTTGGGGAATGATTTCGCAGGCCTAGGCTCAACCCATGGATGGATGCTTAGGCTAATACCATTCTCATAAATTTTCTTCCTTCATGGAAGCCGGAGATAAAATATATAGCTGTATCAAGGTGTGGACCTTGGATGAAGTTTAACATAGAAGGTACGTGCCGTGAGGTGATTGACTTAGCAGGTCAATAGGTAACCCTTGGACAGACGCAGAGGCCTACTCGAATCTTGCTCGACCCATTCGCATAGAGCCACTTCTTGGCCCATCTTACCGCGCATCCTTTTGTCTTAACCTGACGCGCTAGGCGTTCGAGCTAAGCCATTTGGTCATTGGTGAAGAGAAGGGCACGAGTTGACGCGTGGTACGCTTGCAGATGTGAATGAGTTCTATTTATTTTTCTGGCAGGGAAACAGTATAAGATGTTCCATTGACATGCAGGATGACATTTTGATGTAAGGTGGCTNGCCATTTGGTCATTGGTGAAGAGAAGGGCACGAGTTGACGCGTGGTACGCTTGCAGATGTGAATGAGTTCTATTTATTTTTCTGGCAGGGAAACAGTATAAGATGTTCCATTGACATGCAGGATGACATTTTGATGTAAGGTGGCTCTGTCTAATCCACTTAAGGACGATTAGGCCAATGCTCACACTTCAACAAAACGGGAAGGTATCCGGGCTGCATATATGGTTTATACAGTTTTTTCATAGACAACTGTATAGAACCATTAGAAAAGTTTGAAAAAGGTACTGCCATAGAGTCCTTTCGCCAAAATATTAAATTAACGACAAAGTTCCCTACAGTCGAATTGGAATTATCGCCTTGAAACTCAGAAGTAATGAGCTTATGTGTCTGATTCCTAGCCCCTCCCCCCAGATGGAGATGTAGGCTTACGCCATTCTCATGAACACGTTCCTTCCTCCTCAGTCATTGAAGGAAGTGTGTGTTATTGCTACGTTGTTCACTCTAGAGGAATTCAGACTTCGAAGGGAGGGAGGGAGGGAGGGGGCGGGGAGTGTACACGCCCTGGGGACAAATTTCGCAGGCCTAGGCCTACCCCATGGATGGACCCTTAGGCCAATACTACTCTCATGGACATTCCTCCTCAAAGGAAACGGGATAGTAAATAAATTGGCTTGCATACTACAAATACAGTTCGATATTGGCGGTACTTGCCCTAATGGGAATGACTCAGCAAGCTTATATCCAACCCTTGGACGATTGCTCAGGCCTACATTGATTTTTAATATTAGCCATCTTAGCGTTAAAACTCTGAAGTGGCTTATGTTTTGGGATGCTGTGTGCAGAAAAATTCAGACTTTGGAAGTAAATGCCCTGGGACACAAATTTCAAATGGAGATGTTTTCCAATAATTTTTTTGCATCAGTTAAACTGATGAACACGGAAAGCTGAAAATTTGCAGAAATGTTACTACTGAGACATGAAGTTAAAGGAAAATGTTAAGTCTCGATACATCCCCTGGGGGAATTTTTTCGAGGGGCGATGTTTAAAAAAAATTGTTGTCGCGGCGAATTGGACAGAAATGGAAAGGTGAAACTTAGCAGACGTATAACTGACATTACATTACTAAGCTGAGGGAGTATTCAGCTTTCATGGGGCATCCCCTCCGGGCATAGCTTTTGGGTGGGTCGGCTTTTCCAAGCATGTTTTTTCACCAGCGAAAAGGGCAAACGTATAATATTGAAACTTTGTTGGCATGTAGTTCACCGGGCAGACATAGAAAAGTAGCTGGCGCACGCATCACTGAAGTGATGTTGATTTAAAGAAAAATTCACATTTTTTTAATCATCTCCTCAAAGCACAGCTTTTGGGTGGGTCGCTTTTCCAACTACATTCTTTTCCGCCAGCAAAAAGGGGAAACGTATAAGGCTGAAACTGGGTCGCATGGAGTTCCCTGAGTCTACATTTCAAAAAGAAAAAAATTTTCTTTAAAGCCCATTAGACCCCTTTTTAATCAGTCCCATTTTCCTCATTTTTTTTATCCAGAGGCAGAAAATTAAAACTACTTTCAGAAGTACCTATTTGATGGCTGAGTAGAGGAAAAATCCTAATTTTGAAATATGTCTCCTTAGCGTCGATTATAGGAGGGAAGTATTTCAAAATGTATTCTCCACCCTTACAAAAAGGGACACAAGGATAGATTTAAGGATAGGCACACATATAATCATAGAGGTAATGATTTTGATAAAAAATCAAGACTTTCGACTCCATATGTAATGTATTTCAATGGGGACGTACTTCAAATACGTGTTTGCCATTTCAAAAAGAACAAATGAATTAATCACTATCCAAGGTAATGGAGCGCCGAAGGCGCGACCATAGCATTCATATATACACTGACGCACATGGATCACTGTGTTTCGCATCAATTTGCGCAACACTTTGATACCTCGTCGAAATATTGGTTATTGCCAGTTCAATGTTTCTGCGTAACTCTTGAAGGGTCCTCGGCCCTTTTGCTTTGCAATTTTTAGGAACTTGTGCTCTGCACGTGTTTCATTGATCTTGTGATCTCTTTTTTTTTTCAATTTAGAAGATTCCCTATCATACATTCTTTTAAATTATAGTTCCGTCCTTTGAGCCCGAAACATAAAGCATTGAGTACGATTGTCGCCATCAACTAGGTTAGAGGATCTCTCCTTACTGTTCTTGGAAACTGAAGATATTAATACGTTATTCAGAACCATTATTCAAAAAATTAAATAACGCTTCCCACTTATCTGCATTGAAATTGCTTCTTAATTGCGCAAGTCTCCTTTTTTTGGACCATCCTGTTGGCTGATTTTGGTCAACCTTGACGTTTTCTCCAAGGGGAGGACAAATTTGCATCTGGGCTGGAGGGAGTTGTCACCTCAATTTTTCTCTGATCGGCGCTGATCGGCATGTGATCCGAACAACTGGTAGAGAACAGAACGCTGACTCACCAGGGCACATTGTAAGGCCACGAGGTGGAGTATATTAAATGGCATATCTTCGACTCTTTTGTGGCACTCGAACAATCGAAAGTCATGTTCCCAGCGGAATCATTGGTGCACTTGCAGGGTGATATACTTGAAGGGGTCGGGCATTCAGAACTTCCACTCGCCAAGGAGGGAAAGAAAAGGAAGACGAGGGTCAACAATGCTATCATCGCAGGATTTCCTATCGGAGGACGGCAGAAATGGTTTGTGGCGTCGGGATTCGTCTGACTTGTCTTCACAGATGATGGAAGTGGATCTACATGTGAAGAAAATGTTCCTGTTGCAACGGAAGAATACTTCAACAACACACTGCAACGACCACATTAGAAAATAAGTTCTACTGGAAGTGATTCCGACCGATATCAATGAAATCATTTTCACACAAAAGGGGGGAAGGGCATAGACCGGAATTTTTCCGATTTAATTCAACCCCCGTACGGAAATGTGTGACATACATCACCTTGGAGAATACGATAAACTGATCAATTTTCGGCCTGTCTTCTATTCCAATTGTTCCGAAGCAAGATGGCGGTCGAAAGTAGAGATGGCGGCTCCAGTCGGAACATTGAAATAGTCGTTAACCCATGTGTTCTCAAACTGAGGGGCGCGAGAGGGTCCCAGGGGGAGAGCGACAGGTCATGTATTTTTTAATCCACAACAATCAACAATTTAAAAAAATATGGAATATTTGTATTCATCTACCTATTATTTTTACCGGGAAAGTGTCACATTCTCTCAGGTCTTTCTGACTCTTTCTCCCGTATTTCAAGATGAATTGAACGCAATTCAAGGCAGACTTTTAAGCCACGAGGCAAATTTTGTTGCTCCACCATCGCGCGCCCGGGGGCACACGGAGCAATATAATTGGTTGATAATTGCATTTGGCCTACATCGCAACCATAGCAGGACCGCCGCACAGGGGGCAATCTCGCGTGGAGCAACAAAAACTGCTACGCGTGCGGCGGGCTTTATATTCAAATCCTTTTTTCAAGGGGTGTACATTTCCTTCGGCGATAACCAAACGGAATACTGGAAGAAGTATGATGTCGCGGAAGAGCTGGGTTCCCCCGGCAGAGCAAAATTTCCGAAGACATTTCTGTCAGGTCTTTGAAAATGAGATTCGTGCCGT